GGAACAAAGATATCAGATCAGACGTACTTATTTGCTGGTGCAGGAGAGGTGTCGTTGTCCTCTTGCCAATGGACGACATGGTGTTGACTCTTTTCTTTTCCTGTCGTAGGCCGGATCGGGAATTGCGGAAATTATTGCTATGCACATCTCGAAAGAGGTAAAAGTGTCCCTGTAATGTTCTCAGGATGGAGATCTCTGACCTTGTGCTTACACACGGCAGAGCAATGTTGAGCTAGAAGAAGCAAGGAAGAAAATATGGATGGTGGATTCTAAGGTAGGCGCATTGCTTTTACAGTCCAAAACTTACGATTTTGTGTAGGGACTGTTGGAGAGCTCGCGGTTGGGATCCTTACAAGAGTACAAAAAGCGCTACGCTCATGAGCATGAGTCATGTCCAGATTTTCCAGCGGCGGTCAAGGTTTGTATGGCTATCCATTAAGGTTCTCGAGACTGATAATTTTCAATTGCAGCAACTAAAGCCCACCGTACTTATTGGAACAACGTCAAAGAAAGGCATGTTCTCCAAAGAAATTCTTGAAGAGGTTGCATCTTTCACTGAGGTTCGTGTTTCTTTCTCTCTTTTTTTATGTCTTCTTCTTACTCTTATAAATGATCCATCAGAGACCAATCGTTTTAGCTCTCTCAAATCCAACATCCAAGTCTGAATGCACGGCAGAAGAGGCGCTGAAATACACACAGGGACGTGCTCTTTTTGCGAGTGGGAGCCCATTCTCTCCTGTCGAAATGAATGGGAAGACATTTACTCCAGGCCAGGTATGCTCGAAGTTTTTGTCAGTGCTTGTATTGAAAATCATTTTTTTTCGGATTTGCTTGGTTTAAAATTTAGGCGAACAATGCGTATATATTCCCAGGAATGGGACTGGGATGCATCATCGCCGGAGCAATTCGTGTTCAGGACGAAATGTTTTTGGAAGCTGGTTTGTATTTCAAAGTATACGAACTTGTTACATTTAACCACATCGTTTGTGCAGCTCGAGCTTTAGCGCATCAAGTGTCAAAAGAGGATTCAGAGAGAGGACTGATTTACCCTCCATTCACACACATCAGAAAAATTTCGGCTCACATCGCTGCTGCTGTAGCTGCAAAGGCCTACGAACTGGGTAAGTGAGACGTCTCCAGACTCACTTCTGAAATATGTTTTTCTTTTTCCAATGTCAAGGTTTGGCGACAAGGATTCCTCGGCCTACTGATCTCCTCAGCTACGCACAGAGCTGCATGTACAGTCCTTTGTATCGTATGTACAGGTAGATTAAGCACTATAAGTTATGTAAATAAGAATGCTGTGGTTTATCGATTCTTCCATAAGCCAACTCATGGATGGGGGAGTTCATGGAATTGGATTAGCATTTGTCAGTGGCATGCATTGCGTATTATCCGGGCTACACTAAAAACAAATAAAAATTTAATCGGGTCTCTACCTGTGGTTTCGAACCTGTGACCTTGCCAATAAATTTCTTTATTCTAGCCAACAGGTTCCCGTCCAAATTGTACATTAATAGCTCTTTAACGTGCTTTTGAATGAATGGCACGGGCGCTCATTTCTTGTTTTGTATCAATCGTGTGCAAATTCTGGGCTCGCGCAAATGTTTCCGAAGCGTTACAAGCCTCTCTCCTCGGTCATGGTTCCAGGATTTGTATTGGTGGATGGTTGCTCAAACTTTGTTTTGCGGAACAAATAAGTTTGATTTGATCCAGGCACCCTCTTGAAGAGCACCGGTGCGTTCTACCCAAGAGATTCGAGTTGCAAGGCATCTGAGTGCTGGAAGTTGGGGTAATTGTTTCTCTCTTCTTTGCAAGATGAAATCCTCGGGGAGCTTAATTCACCAATTTGATGCATGTTCCTAAAGAAAAACCATATTCAAAACCATGAATTTAAATACTCACTCGCAAAACTCTTGTTGCATCAGTGATTCTTTTCTTTCACTGTATTCTATGTGAGAGCCTTGATCGAGAATCAGGTGAGAGCAGAAAAAGGCAACAATTTCTCAAGTTTCAGAAGAGATTGATAGCTGGTGCCAGATAAAAGAAAAAGCATGACAAGCGAGGGGACAAGGATCTGCGATGTTCGAAGAAGGCTCCTGGGTACGTTAAGCCACTGCGAGCGTCGTAAGGGACAAGGAGAAGGTTTAAAGCGTAACTCCGCTAGCCTAGTCACAACCACAAGCTTAGGAGAACGCAATGCACTCGACACATCCCTCAGTGAAAATCGAAAGGTGGCGAAGATGAGAAATCAAGCTCAAGACAGTCTCTTGTGCGTTCTTGAGCAATCTAGTCAAGAGTATAAGCAAAGAGCACGACAAGAACCATACATACCACCTTAAATCACAAAAGCAATGCTTACTTTACGAGGTATTGTTTGAAGGCTTGTCTTGGATTGAGCCGGACCGAATCATCCAGCCAAGCGCGGCAGACAAGCGCTGCTCGGGTGAGGAGCTTCCTTGTTGGAATGCGAGCGAAAGTGCAGAGCAGCGTATTGTTATCCAGGTCGCCAATGGTGGTAGCGTCCTCTGCTATCGCTGTCCTTGCGCCATTTGCTATTTTGACGAAGCTTACATGTAGTTAATGAATGGTTCCATCGCATTGTTCTTGACGACGAGGAGGAGACGCTGCTCCGATCGTCATAGATTCCTCGCGAATTTCGTCATGGAAATGTATGGAAAGTGCAGGCGCGCCGCGGATGCCTTGGGTGTCTTCCACAAAATGGAAGATGGAATTGTTTTCTTCTGGAACGCATTTGCCCACAGCAGGGAAATGCCGGAAGTTCTGGTGCTCTTTCGGCAAATGCTCGTCGATCGAATTCTTGCAGCTGTCAATGGCGATGTGGCGGAGATCCATGCGCGACAAACACCGGTGAGAAACACATGGTGAGAAACACCGGGAACCTCGACTTAAGTAGGCAGAACAGGCCTGGTTGAAAGACTACTGCTGGAGGGTAAGTATGGACACATCAACCACGGCTTTGGAGGAGGCGATACCCCACAGAATCGAGAGGATACAACGTGTGAAGCAAGCCGACTGGATCTTTGCCAGTACTTTCACGGCTCTGTGCTCCGGGCCATGCAAGGACGGGTCCTCCTTCCAGTTGCTCCGGTTCTCTTCTTAGATATCAGCGACATATCGAGATGACCATCGATGATTCTGTGGAAGACGACCGGTGTATAGACTGGCTAGACAGACAAGAGCTCTTTCGGTGGTGTATGTCTCGTTTGGCAGCATCGCTCATCTGAACGGCAGCTGGAACAGGTCGCTCGGGGATTGGAAGGTTGCTCCTTCCAGTTTTTGTGGGTGATACGGAACGAGTCGGTCCAGACTGTGTCAGCTGACGTTCGAAACGCTTTCACGGAGAAAGTTATAGGCCGCAGTCTCGTGATTCCATCGGCTCCGGCTCGCGTGCTCAAACATCCTTCATTGGGAGCTTTCGTGACGCACTGCGGATGGAATTCGCAGCAAATGGTTTGGTGGACAAGTCAGAAGTTGAAAGGGTGGTGAGGGCGGTGTTGGAGGGAGACCAAGGTAGGCAGATCAGGCGAAGGATTGGCTCCTTGAGAGGCGCCGCAAGGACTGCATTGATGGCCGGGGGACTTCCACGAAAAAGTTTCGAAGAGTTTGCAGAGGCTATGAAGTCTGAGATGCGATCCAGCTTTTTTTTCTACTAGCCTGTCTACTGGCATGGCGGTATACCGCTCTGGCAGCCATGTTCCTTCGACTTAACTATACCAATCGTTTTGAGATCAAGTCAACAAAGGCGGACAAGTTCCTATCGGATGAGCCACCTTCTGTCACGGTACTTCTAATTTCATTTCTAAGTTCTATGGCTCTTTTCCTGATTTCTTTTCCAGGATCTTCCACCATGAGCCGCCTGATCACTTGATGAACCACCTCCTTGCTCGCCACACCGTGACAGGAGCCTCGGAAAAAGCTCGGCCCGACCTTCCAGTCGCCGACGATGATCTTACAGTTGAGATGTTGCTCGGCGAAGCAAGGCCAGCACAGCAAAGGAACTCCACTGCACACGGCTTCTAAGGTGGAATTCCACCCAGTGTGTTCGAAAGCCTTCAACGGAAGGATGCTTGAGAACTTGAAGCTGCGGTGCGCAGGATATCACCAGTCCCTGCGACTTTGTCCTCACGACGACATCCTCAGAAGTTAGCTTCAGACTCGCCTCATCACCCACAGGAATGGCTCGATTCGAGGCCTAGAGCTAACCGCTCTATCTGGTCCGCCACCGAGTCCCGAGTCGGCCTCCTCGAGAGCGTCTAGAACGGCTAAGAGTTGGCTCGTGTTCGGCGGGCTAGCGATGTGGCTGAGCTCCAAGACGCTGGGAGGGAGTGAAAGGACGCGGACGTGAGGATTGGGGGAGCGCTGCGTCTTGCTGTGGAACTAGGAGCGTGGTGGTGAGATCTAGGCCGTTTCCACGGCCTAGATCGACTTGAAAAGCATTCTACCACCTGTACAATAAACTTGTAGTTCCCAAGTCTGTGAAAGGAGTTTACTGGATCTCTGAAAGAGATGTCCTCTCTGCACCAAACAAGATAAGCCACTCTACGTTTACTTCAGGGTAAACTTTCAATGCATTTTTCCAGGAGCGCTTGTGTATTTCGGCGCAGATATGCTTTGGCGATCAGTAGCTGCAATACCATCCCGACAGAAAGATCGGCATTGCACCCCATCGCTCGCAGGTAAGGCCGCAAGCATCTCTGATGGCAGCAGCTGGCTATTAGGTACTCGGCCTGGACGATCTACTGCTTACTGCAAATGTCGAGGAGGCATCCGGAAGCGGCGAAATTCAGCAGCACGAGAAGGCGATTCTGTCACAGCCTTCTAGGCCTGGAATCAAGTTTGAAGAACACAAGAAGCTACGAAAAACTTGATGACAGCGCCAGAAATAAATCTTTCAAACTTTTCCGAAAGACCTACCTGATATAGGAAAGTGGAAAAGGTTCCTAAAATGGTCAGTCGCAAACATTTAAGGGTGTCAATCTCGCCTGGAAAACCCTAGGAGAGAATGACGCAAGAGGCTACTGAGGTCGTGCGCTTGGGAGCAGGGAGCTTTGCCACAGTCTACGTATGGCAATCGCGCAACAACCTTGCGATTAAGTGCTTGGCGGATGTCAGTCGCATTCCCGACCTGCTCGAAGAGTTTGAGAATCACCGGAAGGTAAGCAGGGCGTGCGAGTGCGCCGGAAATCTCTTTCTGGTGCCCAAGGCCATGGAATTCTTCCCGTCTCTTGCATCACTGGGGGAGCGCCTGCGAATGGATTCGTCGCTCCTGCCAAATATACCAGCTGCGTACACGATGCAGCGAGTCTGGCCCGTCCCACCGGCTCTTGCGGATTCCATCAGGGCCAAGTTCTTCCCCTCGCTCCACTCCGACTACTCCAAGCCCTTCATCGCACGGATCTACTTGGGTGCAAAACCCCAGCGCATGGTTTCTCGATTCTTCAACGCCAACAACTTTCCGCTGGATGCCAATCGTTGCAAGGAGCTGGGGCTGCCGGTTGAGTCACTGGCCCAAGACATGGGTAGACTTCTCGCCAGGATCCATCATCTCGCAGGTGTCTCAGCTTTACTTTATTTTTCATTCCTGCTTTTTTACATTTCCCTTCTTTTCCAGGACTGGATGGTCGTGACATCGAGTTTGTCGTAGGTGGCGACGAGCTGAGGAGCTTCTCCGAGCCCGGGTTTTCCTGCTTTGATTTCAACCAGTGCAAGCCTCACAACGACAATGTGGACGCACTCGTGCACAGCTTCTTTGACAATGATCCCTACTATCCTCGGCCTGGCATGGAGTTTTGGGACGATTTCAAGGACTGGTACCTGCGGGAAGCCGTGCTTGCTCCAGACAGGGCAAAGTCTGTACGTCTGGGAAGGATGTTCCTGGACATGGTTGAAGCCAAAGTGGCAGACAAGACCGCCCAAGAAGCTCCAGAAGGCAGGGGCAATGAGATGGCGCTCCTGGAGAGTTGAAAGTAGGGCGCTCTTTGTTTGAACGACGTTTTTGAAGTAACATAACATGGCTTGCTATCTGAAATTTATATTTCTTGTAGCACCTACGAGTGGAGGTCTTGGGAGGAGCGGGAGCTCGAAGTTGTGAGTGGTGTTAAAGGAGATGAGCGTCGTATTGAAGAGTGCTGTCCATTAGAGCTCTCCAGGAGTTGGAGACTGCTCGGCACAAACCTCGATAGGATGTTCTCAAGAGCAAGCTCATCGCAGAGACCGGGAATGAGATCGCTTGGAGCAGCCATCGCTCATATCGCTCCTATCCTGAAACCGAGTGTTACAAAACGGCAAGCAAACGCAGATCAAGGAAGAGCTCACAACGCACTCACAGATCGTCCGCCTTAGAGCGCGTTATACTTTGCCGCTGCTATACTAATGTAAGTTTGTCCTCTTTTTCTTGTACTGTTTCTCATGTCTTGTTCCTTGTGATTTTCAGAGTGCTGCGGTGGAAAAACCGAGACAAAGGATCAATCGCATCGAAGAAACAGGCACATACTCATACTTAAGTCATCCGTGTGAAGCAAGTGATCGTCATGGGAAAGCCAGCAACTGGTTCCCACACCATCCTTCTGCTTTCCTTTGAAAATCTTGCAGCATTTAGTTTTCTTCGGATGAATCGACGTCGAGCCTGCGTAAAGGACGCCCCGGATAAAAAATAAAAATTGAATCTCGCTGCTTCTTCGGGCCTGTTCTCTGCAATCGCCACCCAAGTCTTTTGCACTGCCGAGTTATACCAGTGTATAGCGTTGCCATCGAGGTAACCGTAGGTGATGGCATTGCTTCCCAGCTTCACCGGAGCTTCAAAGCAATCACCACTCACTACCGTGAGCGTCGAGTTCCTGTGCTCTGTCTACCTTGGTATCTCCTCTTACGGCTTCCACGCACGCACTCGACGCAGCATCGTAGCGCATAAGTTCCACTGTCTCCTTGTGCCACTGTAGACCATACAAGTTCTCGTCGCCAGCCGGCGAGAGCGCCACCGCAACGTTGGAAAAATTCCACTTTCCAATAGTGTTCCACGCGTCCACCTTCATACCAAATACTCTGACGTCCAGCTTGACAGGAGCATGGAGGCTGTAGGGAGATGCCCTGTTCTCCCAAGTCGAGTATATCTTGCCACTGAAAGCGATGGCGTCGAACCAGTTACTGGACTTTTGGGCCGGAATCACGTCCCACGTCCAGTTAGCACCACCGACGTCGAGCTTAAAGATGAGATCTCTCGAAGGTGACCAGCACTTGCCTGGTGCCAAAGTCCACACGAGAACCATGCCGGACCATGCAACAATCTTTGCTCGTCCCTCGCGTAGATTCTCTATCGGCGGGAGCTTCCGCCACACCTGTGACCCCTGTGACCTGTCCGAAATGAGAGCTTCGAGTACCTCGTATTCGTTTCCCAGACAGACCAAGTATCTCAGCTGCCTCGATTGGCTCGATCGCCAGCCGCCACGATCCGTGCTCTATCTCCTTTGGCAGCATAGGGGCGATGAATTTCTCGCAGCTGGAAGTCCTGCTCGATTGGGTGCCTTGCCCGGATCTCGTCTCGGACATGGGAGAGGAAGAACACGCAAGATTCCTTGACAGGGCGCGCGATCTAGGCCTCGTCGTTCGCTGGGCGCCGCAACTCCAGGTCCTCCGCCATGGATCAACCGCGGCGTTCCTCTCTCACTGTCCACGTTTGAGAGCATTTGCGCTGGAGTGCCGACGATCTGCCAGTCTTGCTTCGCGGAGCAAAAGGCCAACGTCAAGTACGTCGTGGAGGTGGGCGTGAAGCTCACAAAGGGTCGTCGTGGAGATTTCTCCAAAGAAATCTTCACCGCTGCGCGCCGTAAGCGCGGTGATGGGCGGTGGCGAGCAGAGCGATTCGATCCGGAAGAGAGCCGCGGATCTGCACGATGCGTGCCGGAAGGATTTCCAAGAGATGCCGAGCGCGGAATTCTCAACGGCTAAGATCGAACCCAAGATATCCGACGGCTCCGTTTAAACTAAGTGAATATGCTAGGGCATTTAGGATTCTCTAGCTTGATGGATGCGAAGAGCGCGTAGCGGCGAGCACATCTACGCCCAGCTTTGCTCTCTTGCACACGGCAAGGATCCGGCAGCCAGGATTCACTCGCAGATTGTCGCCTGCGGCTATGGACGAATCTCGTCGTGCAGATGTACGCGACGGATGCGTTCCGCCGAATCCAGCAGCCCAATGCCTTCTCTTGGGCGATCTTGGCGGCGGCATTGAGGGCCGCGAGGTTTTGTCGCGAATGCCGCAGCACAATGTGGTGTCGGCCACGGCGATGCTCGTTGCGCTAAACGCGGTGCTCGCTGCAAATGCCCAAGCAGGGCATGGTTTTTGCTGAAAGATATTTGCAATGGGATGCCATTGAAGAACGAAGTGTCGTGGAACGCGCTCTTGAATGCTTTCTCGTAACAAGGTCTGATCGCTTCAACCTTGGAGAAGTTCTGGAGAATGCCAATGTGGACTATTGTTTCGTGGAATACTATGATCGTGGCATTTGCCAGAGGGGGGAATTTGTATAACGCAAGGAAATCGTTTGACACCGCTCCAGAGCGTGACATGATCTCCTGGAACAGCCTCTTGGAAGCGTGCAGTAACATCGAGGATCGAGGGAAGTGTTTGATCTTTTGCCCAAGAGGAGCTCGGCATCTTGGAGCTCTATGATCAGAGCCCAGCACTCTCACCACTCTCTTCACCGCCTGCGCCACCACCGGATCACTCGAGCAGGGAAGAATCCTCCACAAGTTCCTCAGCAATTCAATCGCTTGCGGCGATTCCCACGGGCTTTCTCTAGCAAGCGTGATGCTCCGCATGTATAGCGGGCCGAGCTCGTCCATACCGGAGCAGGATCTCGACTTGGTCGCATGGAGCTCCATGATCTGTGCGTACGCCCATCACGGACAGGGCGAGCGAGCGCTGGATCTCTTCCGGGCGATGAGCGCCGTCGGAGTGGAGCCCGACGATGTGGTATTCGTGAGCATCATCTCGGCTTGCAGCCAGAGTCAGCCGGGTGTTCTTCCGGTTGATGGCTGGAGAGTTTTCGATCGCGGCGGGGCTGGATCACTACAAGAGCATCGTCGATGCGCTGGGGCGCGCGGGAATGATCGAGCTAGCTCTCGAGCTCTTGCAAACCATGGCTCTCTTCCCGGATAGAAGCTCTGCGTTTCTAGGCGTGTGTAATGTGTCTCGAAGCTTTGTTAGAGGATATGCTTTTCGAGAATAATGCTTTCTGAGAGTTTTCGAGAATATGCTAAGATGATTATATTTATGACTAACAGGGCGTGCGATCAAGACAAAATGCGGCCAGCATCGATGTAAGTTCTCCTCGATTCTATCCCCGATCGCCTGTCCCAGATGGATCCGCAGCGAAATCTCCCCTCCACAGCTATTTCCTTGAAAGATTTCGCTCGCGCTCTTGCAGGATCGCGGCGCCGCCGCTAATTTCGTATCTCCAGCGATGATCTGCGGGACATGGACGGGAATGGAGGCGGCGATCGACCGCACGCGGTGGTATTCCCGTTTCCATCGCTGGGCCACATCATCCCGATGATGCATCTCTCCTGGCGGCTGGAATCGCTGGGATTTTTCATCACTTTCGTCAACACGGAGCACAACCATTTCCGGATCGGAGGGAGAGACGAATGCCGCTGCTGCAGGAGCACGGAGTTCACATCAACATGGTGGGGCTTCCCGACGCCAACATGCCTTCTCTCGAGACTATCAACGTGTTTGAGGCGATCATGTCCACGGACAGGCTCCGCGGCGCTTTCGAGAGATTGATCGGCAAGCTGGTGGAGAGACAGAGCTGTCCTCCGGTTTGTATCGTCGCGGATGGATTTCTTTCGTGGACTCAAGACGTTGCTCAGGACTTTAGTCTCCAGTGGGCCGTGTTCTGAGCTTGATCTTCCGACTTGATGGAAAGAGGCCTCGCACCTTTGAAAGGTACTTTTCCTTCTTTTATCTTCTATTTTTCTTCATGCTTCGTTTTCCTTTGCAGCTGAAAACGAGCATAGCTACATTTCGTTCATAGACGGTATGATATCTTCCAGTGATCTCCCGACTTCCATCACCAGGCAGGATCAATATGATCCTGTCCAGAGCGTCGATCTCGAGAAAATAACACCGTCACCATCTTTGGCTTGTCGTTGTAGTAATTGGAGCTTGGGGTGGCGATTGGGGCGCCGATCAGGCTGGGATGCCAGTCTCGAGCTCACACGGCAATGCCCTGGTTCCATCCGATGCAAGTGTCTGTCCAGTTCTTGGCAGAAGACGATCTCGGCGATCGCCAATGGAGCATCGTAACGCGGCGATGATTAGTTGGACCTGTCCTCTATCATGACTCACAGCCATTCGAAGGTTGCCAAAACTCTTGGGCATCGGCAAACCGGTGTCCAGGGTCGTGTCCTGTCTCTGCTCCGCTCAATAGCTTGCCGCTCAGCGTTCGTGTTCTCACTCTGTGCGATCGTAACAAGGCTGCATTGCGAGTCACGCGAGGCGCAAGTTCCTCCTCCAAAACTATTATCGTTCCAAGCGAGAGACACATTCCAGGATCCCTTCTTTCTGGGCTAGATCGATCGCTTCTTTCTGGGCTAGATCGACCACTGTCTTTTTTGTCTCTCGAGCCTGCGGGAGGGAGAAACAAGGAAATTCCAATATCACGGAGAAACTCCAACATCGCCTACACTTGAAAAAAGTGCTTTTAGGTGGTTCTCTGGCTGTGGATTCGAACCTGTGACCTTGCCAATAAATCTCTTTATTCTAGCCAGATATCCGGCCAACAGGTTCCCGTCCAAATTAAACATTAATAGCCTGTTAAAGTGTTTCGCTTGTTCTTGATTTTGAGTGAATGGCACGCGTGCTGATTTCTTGTTCCGTATCAATCACGTGGGCAAGGTCGCGCGAACGTTTCCAAGCCTCTCTTCTTGGTTCCAGGATTTTTTTTGGAGCAAAATTTGTTTCTCGGAACAAGAAAAGTTTCTGGAAAATGAGCAAGTTTGATTTGATCCAACCACCCTCTTGAAGAGCAGAGTTGAGAGGCATCTGGAAATGTCAAGAGTGCTGGAGGTTGGGGTATTTATTTGTTTCTCTCTTCTTTGCAAGATCAAATCCTCTGGCCATGTTCAAGACCATGAAATTAAATACTCACTCCCAAGGCACATCCCTGATTTGGTGCAACTGATTAGACTCAGAACCTGAGGATTGATGCACCAGTGATTCCGTTGTTATTCACTGCAGCCTGTGAGAGCCTTGATCGAGCGTCAGGTGAGAGCAAAGAAGAAGCATGACAAGCGGTGGAATGATACAACACAATGATCTGCAAGGACCCACGTCAAGCCACTGCGAGAAACTAGAGAGAAGAAAGGCTACGCTCTCGCTCAGCTCCACTCTTTCTTACATGAGATTGGCACAAGCGCGGCAGTCAAACGCTGCTCGAAAGTGTGGAGCAGCGTATCGTTATCCAGGTCGTCAGTAGTCCTCGGCCATTCGCTATTTTGACGAAGCATGTAGGAGGAGCTAGTGGTGGATTCAAACTTGGACACCCCCTCTAGCTGAAATGCAATGATACTTTCGTAGACAAGGCTGCATTGCGAGTCACGCGGGCTGCAAGTTTAAGCTCCTCTCCTCGTCCAAACCTGTTGGCGTTCAAGCGAGCAATGCTGAGACGCGTTCCAGCATGACTTTAAAGCAAAAGGAAGAGTCTGGGCTAGATCGACACACTGACCATGATCATCGTGGCTGCTGCTGCTGCTCAAGCACTCCAGCGAATTCCATAAAGACCCACCGGCAAATTCTTGCGCGAGCGAAGTAAAATTTAATTGGGTCTCTGGCTGTGGGTTCGAACCTGTGACCTTGCCAATAATTGTTTTTATTCTAGCCAGATATCCGGCCAACAGGTTCCCGTCCAAATTATGCATTAATAGCTTGTTAACGTGTTTGTTACTTTCATGAATCGTTTCTTGAAATTCTGGGCATGGCGCTCAGCTGGCACGCGAATGTTTCCCATCAGTTTGATTTGATCCAGGCACCCCCCTCAAGAGCACCGGTGCGTTCTGCCCAAGAGATTCGAGTTGCAAGGCATCTGGAAATGTCAAGAGTGCTGAAGGTTGGGGTTAGTTGTTTCTCTCTTCTTCGCAAGATGAAACCCTCGGGGAGCTTAATTCATCAAGACACCACCCAAAAGCTTCCAGTCTGATGCTTGTTCCTATAGAAAAACCATGTTCAAAACCATGAAACAAAACAGAACATCTTTGAGTTGGTGCAACTAACTTAGACTCAGAACCTAAAGCTTGTTGCATCAGTGATATCCACTGTAGTCTAGTCCCAGAGTACGTTGTGAGAGCCTTGATCGAGCATCAGGTGAGAGCAAACAATTCCTCAAGAGCTGCTTGCAGGTTTAGACTCTGCATAGCTGATGGCTGACAAGAGAAGAAGCATGGCAAGCGAGGCGATGATACAACACAAGGATCTGCGAGGTTCGAAGAAGTCCCTCAACTGCTCCTGGGTACGTTAAGCCACTGCGAGCGTGGTAAGGGACATGAAAACGTGACTCCACTAGCCTAGTCACACCCACAAGCTTATGCGAAGCACTGCACTCGACACATCGCTTGGCGAAAATCGAAAGGTGGCAAAGATGAGGAATGAAGCTCAAGACAGTCTCTTGTGCGTTCTTGAGCGATCTGGACAAGAGTATATACATACCGCTTTAAATCACAAAAGCAATGCTTGTGATGCTTGCTTTGCGAGGTATTGTTTGAAGGCTTGTCTTGGTTTGAGCCAGACCGGATCATCCAGCCAAGCGCAGCAGACAAGCGCTGCTCGGGTGAGGAACTTCCTTGTTGGAATGCGAGCGAAAGTGCGGAGCAGCGTATCGTTATCCAGGTCGCCCAATGGTGGCAGCGTCACCTCTGCTATCACTGCCCTTGCGCCATTTGCTATTTGGACGAAGCTTACATGTAGTTAACGAATGGTTCCATCGCATTGTTCTTGACGACGAGGAGGAGACGCTGCTCTGATCGTCATAGATTCCTCGCGAATTTCGTCATGGAAATGTATGGAAAGTGCGGGCGCGCCGCGGATGCCTTGGGTGTCCTCCACAAAATGGAAGATGGAAATGTTTTCTTCTGGAACGCATTTGCCCACAGCAGGCAAATGCCAGAGGTTCTGGTGCTCTTTCGGCAAATGCTCGTCGATATCGAATTCTTGCAGCTATCAAAGGCGATGTGGCGGAGATCCAGGTGAGAAACACCAGGAACCTCGACTTAAGTTGGCAGAAGGCCCGCTCCAGGCCTGGTTGAAAGACTACTGCTGGAGGGTAAATCAACCACGGCCTTTGGAGGAGGCCATACCCCTGCTGTCTGATCTCCTCGCAATCCTGGAGCTGAGACAATAACACCGTCACCATCTTTGGCTTGTCGTTGTAGTAATTGGAGCTTGGGGCGGCGATTGGGATGCCAGTCTCGAGCTCACACGGCAATGCCCTGGTTCCACCCGATGCAAGTGTCTGTCCAGTTCTTGGCAGAAGAAGATCTCGGCGATGGCATGCTCGCCAACGGAGCACCGTAACGCGGCGATGATTAGCGCGTGGATCTCCCCTGGATCGGCATTGATAGCTGCCAAGAGAAATAACTGGATGCTCGGAAAAGAGTAACAAGGGCAAATGCCGCGATCGCAATCTTCCACGAGAAAGAACCTCGATCTTTCATCTTCTGGAAGATTTCCAGCGCCCGCACTTTCCATACCTTTCTATGACCAGATTAGCAAGGAACCTCGAGGCCGCTGGAGACGATTTTCCTCGTGGATGCGCCTTCCCCCTCCCAGATCTGTGCTCACCGCATTCTCGCCCAGGCGCCCACCGCTGGAGATCGCTCCTCCTTCCTGCAAATCTTCGCTGGATGGCACCTCCTCGTCAAGGCTCAAGCACGATGCCATGGAAAACCACCGCCATTGCCATTATACGCTACTGCTGCACATTTTCGATCCAGGGGGCTCTTTACCCGGGCGGTGTGCTGCTGCCGGGCGTGCTCTATGAGTCGAGCAGCATGGTCTTTCTTCTCAGTCTCAGACATCTTCAAACTAGGCTCACAAGCACAAGCACTGCTTTTCCGCGGTATGTATGGTTCTTCTCGTGCTCATTTTGTTTATACTCTTGTCCAGTCCAGATCGCTTCATTCCTCATCTTCGCCACCCTTTGGCCTCGAGCATTTTCCAAGATAAAATGGAGGCCTGTAGTTCATCAACATCCAAGGCGTGGAGTGACCACAGCGCAACTTGTGATGAGATGAGTTGGTGACCTGGTATATGTTTTTTGTGTTATGCCATCTGCTCTTTGGAAACTTTTGAGAAAGCTGGCTCTGAGCTGATTGAGTTTGAGCTTGGTCAAGGCTCTCACAGGTTTATTGGATCTCTGGTGCAACCCTGGAGTTTTGTTTGCGGGTGAGTAAGCTTTCACGGTTTCAGAGCAATATATTATATTATTGCCAAGAGAAGGCATCAAAACTTGGAGCTCCAGAGTCTCACGCCCCGAGGATTTGAAAGGATCCAAACCTATGGACCTCCAGCTTGGACAACCAAGTGAAGAATAGATTCCCGGGACCATGGTGCCTGGATCAAATCAAACTCGAGCTCAGACAAGCCATCTTCCAGAACAATATCTTAAACGGATGTTGCTGGTTCTTGTTGCAGCATACTTATACTTTGTTTCTCAAAAATAGCTTCTGCATCAGCTGCTTGCTCAGATTGAGCTGCAGAGTCCATCCAACCCGTTTTGTTTGCCATGGCCTCGCCAGAGCATGGAGAAAGTGAGAGTTTCATTCCATCGAGAAGAGAATGGTTTCTTTCTTGAGCTTGACAGCAGCAACGCGCTGCGCGCCATGCGCCCACAAAACGAAAATCTCTTGCGCCGCTGTTTACATTATGGTATACGTTAAGAAGCAATTAGTGTAGACTTTGGACGGGAACCTGATGGCCGGATATCTGGCTAGAATAAAAAAATATATTGGCAAGGTCACAGGTTCGAACCCACAGCCAGAGACCCAATCAAATTTTTTTGTATGAACGAGGGATTTCTCTTCTCCGCAAAGTCGCTCTCGGCAGCGTTGCTGGAGCTAAATCTTCTCTCGTGCCGATCCCCCCGAATGATCCACGGTTCAGGCTCTTGGATCGCGCGATATTCCCTTTCGCTGGCAAATGCGAGCAGCAAGAACAGGGCATTCGATCGATGCGGCGTCAATCTTGTTCGATTATCGTCTCCTGGAACGCGATGGTCACCGCGTATGTGGCGGCATCCCGCATCCGAGAGTGTGAGTCTATGTTTGATTGCGTCTCAGAGCGCCATGGAACTCGATGATAATGGCTCTCGCGCAGCAGGGGCAAATTGTGGCAGCGAAATCGAGCTTGGGCAAAAACGCCGGCCAAGGATCTGGTGTCCTGGACGAATCTACTGCCCAGAATGACAGGACGTTCCATGGGTTCCCCTTCCAGCAGTGAATAGCAGAGGAAGAAATCTTTGATTTCATGCCGGATGAAGACGGTATTGATTCGGCCAGTAGCTGCTCTCCAGGATCCGCGCGTGGATCCTCTGGCCTCGCAGCCCCTGGATGTCGTCCACGTGGACAATCAGATGGATTCCAAATCTTGTTTTTCAAATAAGAGGTGCTGAAATAATATTTTGTTATCTCCCAGTGTTCATGGCTTTGTGGTTATAGCATGCACGCTGTAATGTTCTATTGTGAAGGGTTGCTGGGTTCGATTCCCATCCGCCTCGACTTTCAATTAAGAATAGTACGGTGTTAGGGTCGCCCCCTAACATGAACACTATTTTATTATTTTATTATTAAATTAACCGAACTTTTAAACGCAGTTTATATTAGTGGTAACTACAAACAAATAAAAGGTTAAGAGCGATACATCACAGCCGTTGGATTAAAGGATATCTTAGAATATACCATCCAAACCGTTAGATTTTAGTGCGGCTACGGTTTCGCGAGGTGAGAGAGACTCGGGTATTCGTCTTCCTCTGTGCAGCGGAAAGCTGCCATCTCTCGATGTTTGGGTGGCTTGAATCCCTCGGAGCTCTCCATCCGGTTGCACCCAGACAAAGGCCACGTTTTCCATCCCCTCTCTCTCAACTACACAACGGGCCTGTCGTGCCGGACTTGGGACGAGCTGGTCCAGGAGCTCAGCTGCATCTATTCTGACGCAATTGCTTCGCTCCCTGACACATTCCTTCCGGACGCCAAGACGCGGCAAAATGCGGCGATCATCCAAGGCATCCAGCCGCCCAAGGACGAAAGGGAGCCGGCTTGGATGTCGAAAACCGAAAACCGAAAGATTCCAAGGATTCAAATGAAGAAACCTCGATACCCAAAGAGCCTCACCATGGATTTTAGACGATTCCTGGTGCCGGATAGCCACACACAAAAAAAATTCAAAAAATGGATGGATTTAACAGCAAATGAAATCAATCAAGATGTGGACGTTAGATCTTGCTTCACCTGATATATAGAAGCGACTATGTTCAGGAAGTGAAATCTCCCATTACCAAGACAAAATATGTAGATCCTATTTTAAAAGCTTCGAAGTGATTACTGTATTGATGCTATTCGTGATGGATAAAGTAGTATCCTAAGAATTGCAACGACTTCCATCATTAGGACCATCCAAGGCGTCGTTGCCCTCACGAAGAACAGCTTCGGTCAAATCCCGGAGAAGAATCCAGTACCGTGGATCCTCGCATGTTCACGAGATCCTGCGCAAGACCATTGTCTGCTGGATAGCTCTCACGCAAGTTTCAACTTGAGCGCCGCCAGGAGCATGTTTGAGAGCATGAAGATGCGCACCTTGGTTTCCTGGACCACCAACGCTCAAAACGCTTGAAGGACAAAATCAGGAGTCAGAACCATACTCAGGTGCTTCAATCCCTTTCGAAAGCTTCCACAGTCAGACCGTTTGCTTCTACATCCCAAAGAAACCAGGGGATACCTCCAAACCATTCAAACGCCATTTCAGCAGCATTCACTCTCTGCGTTATCTCTTTGGCTTCTTCCGATCCACTCTCGTAGTCTGTCACGCGTTTCCTCCAAGAAGACACAAGAGCATCGCACTCCTGCTTTTCCCACGCAGGCAGATAGCGAGTGAACGTTGTCCGCTTGGCTTTTCTGACATTGAACTCGTCTGGTGATGAAGCAGCAACAAGGGTTTTTATTTCCAACCATCCGCCCCAAGTCCACTCACAGATCGATGAGATGGTATCTACTTTGCTGTCCAGCACAATCTCCTGAGGGAAGTCTTCTCTATTCACCACCCTGAGCTTTGTTACCCTTGAACATCAAAACAGTCGCTCTGGACTCGTAGATCATGACCGGAAGTACCAGACGAATGCAGGCTTACCAACCCCGGAATTTCCATTCAAATGGCAGCACAACATCCACATGAACGGCACCAGGATCTTCCTGATCTCTTTGTACAACCGGTTTTTTTTGCAGGTGAGTAAGCTTTCACGGTTTCAGAGCAATATATTATTGCCAAGAAAAGGCATCAAAAGTTGGAGCAGGATTTGAAAGGATCGAAACCTATGGACCTCCAAGCTTTGACAACCAAGTGAAGAATAGATGGGACCAGGGTGCCTGGATCAAATCAAACTCGAGCTCAGCCAAGCCATCTTCCACGACAATACCTTAAACGGCTGTTGCTGGTTCTTGTTGCAGCATACTTACGCTTTGTTTCTCAAAAGTAGCCTTTGCATCAGCTGCTTGTCAGCTTGAGACGAAGAGTCCGCCCATTTTGTTTGCCATGGCCTCGCCAGAGCATGGAGCAAGTGAGAGTTTCATTCCATCGAGAAGAGAATGGTTTCTTTCTTGAGCTTGACTGCAGCAGATTTCTCTAGACATGCAAAACAACAGAAATCTTATAAACCCACCTTGCATATGTCTCATGAATAAGTTCGGACTTTTCAGGAGTATCGGTGGGCCTCAAGCTCCTCTTTGTTTATAAATTGTTTATAAATGTAAATGCTCTTGTGCAGGAAGCTTATGAATACTTCTTATGAAAAGCACCTCAACTCTTGTATCCATTTTCGTGGCTCGATTTTGGTAGCATCTGTAACGTTATGTGGCTGTAGAGTGGCTGTTGCCTGATGCATTCTTGAAACACTTTGCTCTCTTTAACAGAAGAAACAGTCTGTTGTAACACACAAAGCTTAGACATTTTTCCCAAAAGGAAAGAAATATACCTTGAGGTATAGTCTGAAGCCGTGTCCCACAACTTGACGCCCAAGGAAGTTAATCACCCATGTCGGAACAAGGTCGAGCTTAAGGTCCAGGTGTATTACTGCTCTGTAAAAGAAATAGTGACTATCTTAAGAAGAAAACAAAAAAAAAAAAAAAAACTAATAGTGTACCTTATGTAGCATTTCTCGTCGCTAATCTTCTGGAGGATGAATCCACCGTTGGCTTCCATGCGAATGACGCCCTCTTTTGGAGGAGGCAAATGAGAAGCATTAAAACCATGGATGGTCTCCTTGACGATAGTCTCTACTTCCTGGGGGACCTGGCAAATCACCACCATTGGAGTGAATAAAATAACAAAAGAGGCACAGTGATTGATAGCTTAACTGTTCGCAAGCAGCCAACCACGGCATCCAATTCAGGTAGCTCCAGTTCGAAAGACGTGACCAGCATTTCTCTTGTCGCAAACGGCCATGGAACCTTGCACCTGGCAAGAGCTTGTAGAATTTAAACGCGGGACGGAGGAGCTGCTGCACTACCACCAGCGTTGTGGCTTTTGGATTGATCAGCAGGGCACAAGGGATGTACGTTGTAGTGAAAGCATTGCTTTCCCACAGTTCATCTTTCGCCCTTTTTGCTCTGAATACTCTTGTTGTGGACAGCCACCTTTTGGCCCCGAGTACTTTCCATGCATTGCCCCCTCTTCTTCACACAGGGTGTGACTTGAAATTTCATGGATTTTTTCTTGTTGCTGCTAGGAACAAGCATCAAACTTGGATAGAACACGACAAGAAAGCCCCTTGATGAAATCTCAAGCTCCCCAGGATTTGAAAGAACAGAGAAGTACCTCCAGCCTTGTACTCTTAACTTTGCTGCTAATCAAGAGCATGCCTGGATCAATTTAATCTTCAATGCTCAACCAAGCCATCTTCGGACATTCAGTCGTTGGATGCAGGGAAACCTTGTTTCTCAAAAGAAGAAAAGGTAGGTTATCCCAGGGATTCAGTGGTGAAATCTTCATTCCATAATGGTTTCTTTCTTGAGCTTGACAACCGCAGAAAGGATGACAGCCTTATAAAACGTTCCCACGGGTTTAGAAAGGATGCTTAGAAATGAGCGAGAGCTTGCGCCGTTATGGTGAAGGTATGATATACGTTAAGAAGCAATTAGTGTCCGATTTGGACGGGAACCTGATGGCAAGGTCACAGGTTCGAATCCACAGCCAGAGACCCAATCAAAACATTTTGCAACGCTTCTCCCTCCTTTGCATCTTGCAAGCTACTGTGATCAGAGCGAGCTCTTCTGCCTGCAGTCATCTCGGGATGAGAACTACTTGTCGTCCATAGCCCAAGACTACAGCATGTCCACGATCATGGAACACTTAAGATGCTTGGTGGATCTGCTGGGGAGATCTGGGAAGCTAGACGAGGCCAGTGTCGAGCCAAATTTCAGCGCTGGAGAATGAAAGAGTGGGGAAAAGTCCGATGCTAGTTGGACCTGTCCTCTGGGCTGGAGATCATGACTCACAGCCATTCAAAGGTTGCCAAAACTCTTGGGCATCGGTAAACCGATGTCCAGGGTCGTGTCCTGTCTCTGCTCCGCTATAGCTGGCGTTCCAGCTTGCAGAGTGTGCCGCTCAGCGTTCGTGTTCTTCCTTGGCAGTCTGCAGCACTCTGTGCGATCGTAACGAGGCTGCATTGCGAGTCACGCGAGGCGCAAGTTCCTCCTCCAAATCTATTATCGTTCCAAGCGAGAGACACATTCCAGGATCCTTTCTCTCTGGGCTAGATCGACCACTGTCTTTTTTGTCTCTCGAGCCTGCGGGAGGGAGAAACAAGGAAATTCCAATATCGCGGAGAAACTCCAACATCGCCTACACTTGAAAAAAGTGTTTTTAGGTGGTTCTCTGGCTGTGGATTCGAACCTGTGACCTTGCCAATAAATCTCAGATACAGGTTCCCGTCCAAATTAAACATTAATAGCCTGTTAAAGTGTTTCGCTTCACGCGTGCTGATTTCTTGTTCCGTATCAATCACGTGCGCAAGGTCGCGCGAACGTTTCCAAGCCTCTCTTCTTGGTTCCAAGATTTTTTTTGGAGCAAAATTTGTTTCTCGGAACAAGAAAAGTTTCTGGAAAATGAGCAAGTTTGATTTGATCCAACCACCCTCTTGAAGAGCAGAGTTGAGAGGCATCTGGAAATGTCAAGAGTGGAGGTTGGGGTATTTATTTGTTTCTCTCTTCTTTGCAAGATCAAATCCTCTGGCCATGTTCAAGACCATGAAATTAAATACTCACTCCCAAGGCACATCCCTGATTTGGTGCAACTGATTAGACTCAGAACCTGAGGATTGATGCACCAGTGATTCCGTTGTTATTCACTGCAGCCTGTGAGAGCCTTGATCGAGCGTCAGGTGAGAGCAAAGAAGAAGCATGACAAGCGGTGGAATGATACAACACAATGATCTGCAAGGACCCACGTCAAGCCACTGCGAGAAACTAGAGAGAAGAAAGGCTACGCTCTCGCTCAGCTCCACTCTTTCTTACATGAGATTGGCACAAGCGCGGCAGTCAAACGCTGCTCGAAAGTGTGGAGCAGCGTATCGTTATCCAGGTCGTCAGTAGTCCTCGGCCATTCGCTATTTTGACGAAGCATGTAGGAGGAGCTAGTGGTGGATTCAAACTTGGACACCCCCTCTAGCTGAAATGCAATGATACTTTCGTAGACAAGGCTGCATTGCGAGTCACGCGGGCTGCAAGTTTAAGCTCCTCTCCTCGTCCAAACCTGTTGGCGTTCAAGCGAGCAATGCTGAGACGCGTTCCAGCATGACTTTAAAGCAAAAGGAAGAGTCTGGGCTAGATCGACACACTGACCATGATCATCGTGGCTGCTGCTGCTGCTCAAGCACTCCAGCGAATTCCATAAAGACCCACCGGCAAATTCTTGCGCGAGCGAAGTAAAATTTAATTGGGTCTCTGGCTGTGGGTTCGAACCTGTGACCTTGCCAATAATTGTTTTTATTCTAGCCAGATATCCGGCCAACAGGTTCCCGTCCAAATTATGCATTAATAGCTTGTTAACGTGTTTGTTACTTTCATGAATCGTTTCTTGAAATTCTGGGCATGGCGCTCAGCTGGCACGCGAATGTTTCCCATCAGTTTGATTTGATCCAGGCACCCCCCTCAAGAGCACCGGTGTGTTCTGCCCAAGAGATTCGAGTTGCAAGGCATCTGGAAATGTCAAGAGTGCTGAAGGTTCTCTCTTCTTCGCAAGATGAAACCCTTAATTCATCAAGACACCACCCAAAAGCTTCCAGTCTGATGCTTGTTCCTATAGAAAAACCATGTTCAAAACCATGAAACAAAACAGAACATCTTTGAGTTGGTGCAACTAACTTAGACTCAGAACCTAAAGCTTGTTGCATCAGTGATATCCACTGTAGTCTAGTCCCAGAGTACGTTGTGAGAGCCTTGATCGAGCATCAGGTGAGAGCAAACAATTCCTCAAGAGCTGCTTGCAGGTTTAGACTCTGCATAGCTGATGGCTGACAAGAGAAGAAGCATGGCAAGCGAGGCGATGATACAACACAAGGATCTGCGAGGTTCGAAGAAGTCCCTCAACTGCTCCTGGGTACGTTAAGCCACTGCGAGCGTGGTAAGGGACATGAAAACGTGACTCCACTAGCCTAGTCACACCCACAAGCTTACGCGAAGCACTGCACTCGGACACATCGCTTGGCGAAAATCGAAAGGTGGCAAAGATGAGGAATGAAGCTCAAGACAGTCTCTTGTGCGTTCTTGAGCGATCTGGACAAGAGTATATACATACCGCTTTAAATCACAAAAGCAATGCTTGTGATGCTTGCTTTGCGAGGTATTGTTTGAAGGCTTGTCTTGGTTTGAGCCAGACCGGATCATCCAGCCAAGCGCAGCAGACAAGCGCTGCTCGGGTGAGGAACTTCCTTGTTGGAATGCGAGCGAAAGTGCGGAGCAGCGTATCGTTATCCAGGTCGCCCAATGGTGGCAGCGTCACCTCTGCTATCGCTGCCCTTGCGCCATTTGCTATTTGGACGAAGCTTACATGTAGTTAACGAATGGTTCCATCGCATTGTTCTTGACGACGAGGAGGAGACGCTGCTCTGATCGTCATAGATTCCTCGCGAATTTCGTCATGGAAATGTATGGAAAGTGCGGGCGCGCCGCGGATGCCTTGGGTGTCCTCCACAAAATGGAAGATGGAAATGTTTTCTTCTGGAACGCATTTGCCCACAGCAGGCAAATGCCAGAAGTTCTGGTGCTCTTTCGGCAAATGCTCGTCGATATCGAATTCTTGCAGCTATCAAAGGCGATGTGGCGGAGATCCAGGTGAGAAACACATGGTGAGAAACACCAGGAACCTCGACTTAAGTTGGCAGAAGGCCCGCTCCAGGCCTGGTTGAAAGACTACTGCTGGAGGGTAAATCAACCACGGCCTTTGGAGGAGGCCATACCCCTGCTGTCTGATCTCCTCGCAATCCTGGAGCTGAGACAATAACACCGTCACCATCTTTGGCTTGTCGTTGTAGTAATTGGAGCTTGGGGCGGCGATTGGGATGTGGCGCCGATCAGGCTGGGATGCCAGTCTCGAGCTCACACGGCAATGCCCTGGTTCCACCCGATGCAAGTGTCTGTCCAGTTCTTGGCAGAAGAAGATCTCGGCGATGGCATGCTCGCCAACGGAGCACCGTAACGCGGCGATGATTAGCGCGCGGATCGGCATTGATAGCTGCCAAGGGAAATAACTGGATGCTCGAAAAAGAGTAACAAGGGCAAATGCCGCGATCGCAATCTTCCACGAGAAAGAACCTCGATCTTTCATCTTCTGGAAGATTTCCAGCGCCCGCACTTTCCATACCTTTCTATGACCAGATTAGCAAGGAACCTCGAGGCCGCTGGAGACGATTTTCCTCGTGGATGCGCCTTCCCCCTCCCAGATCTGTGCTCACCGCATTCTCGCCCAGGCGCCCACCGCTGGAGATCGCTCCTCCTTCCTGCAAATCTTCGCTGGATGGCACCTCCTCGTCAAGGCTCAAGCACGATGCCATGGAAAACCACCGCCATTGCCATTATACGCTACTGCTGCACATTTTCGATCCAGGGGGCTCTTTACCCGGGCGGTGTGCTGCTGCCGGGCGTGCTCTATGAGTCGAGCAGCATGGTCTTTCTTCTCAGTCTTAGACATCTTCAAACTAGGCTCACAAGCACAAGCACTGCTTTTCCGCGGTATGTATGGTTCTTCTCGTGCTCATTTTGTTTATACTCTTGTCCAGTCCAGATCACTTCATTCCTCATCTTCGCCACCCTTTGGCCTCGAGCATTTTCCAAGATAAAATGGAGGCCTGTAGTTCATCAACATCCAAGGCGTGGAGTGACCACAGCGCAACGTGTGATGAGATGAGTTGGTGACCTGGTATACGTTTTTTGTGTTATGCCATCTGCTCTTTGGAAACTTTTGAGAAAGCTGGCTCTGAGCTGATTGAGTTTGAGCTTGGTCAAGGCTCTCACAGGTTTATTGGATCTCTGGTGCAACCCTGGAGTTTTGTTTGCGGGTGAGTAAGCTTTCACGGTTTCAGAGCAATATATTATATTATTGCCAAGAGAAGGCATCAAAACTTGGAGCTCCAGAGTCTCACGCCCCGAGGATTTGAAAGGATCCAAACCTATGGACCTCCAGCTTGGACAACCAAGTGAAGAATAGATTCCCGGGACCATGGTGCCTGGATCAAATCAAACTCGAGCTCAGACAAGCCATCTTCCAGAACAATATCTTAAACGGATGTTGCTGGTTCTTGTTGCAGCATACTTATACTTTGTTTCTCAAAAGTAGCTTCTGCATCAGCTGCTTGCTCAGATTGAGATGCAGAGTCCATCCAACCCGTTTTGTTTGCCATGGCCTCGCCAGAGCATGGACAAAGTGAGAGTTTCATTCCATCGAGAAGAGAATGGTTTCTTTCTTGAGCTTGACAGCAGCAACGCGCTGCGCGCCATGCGCCCACAAAACGAAAATCTCTTGCGCCGCTGTTTACATGATGGTATACGTTAAGAAGCAATTAGTGTAGACTTTGGACGGGAACCTGATGGCCGGATATCTGGCTAGAATAAAAAAATATATTGGCAAGGTCACAGGTTCGAACCCACAGCCAGAGACCCAATCAAATTTTTTTGTATGAACGAGGGATTTCTCTTCTCCGCAAAGTCGCTCTCGGCAGCGTTGCTGGAGCTAAATCTTCTCTCGTGCCGATCCCCCCAAATGATCCACGCCGCCGCGCCGGGTTCAGGCTCTTGGATCGCGCGATATTCCCTTTCGCTGGCAAATGCGAGCAGCAAGAACAGGGCATTCGATGGATGCGGCGTCAATCTTGTTCGATTATCGTCTCCTGGAACGCGATGGTCACCGCGTATGTGGCGGCATCCCGCATCCGAGAGTGAGAGTCTATGTTTGATTGCGTCTCAGAGCGCCATGGAACTCGATGATAATGGCTCTCGCGCAGCAGGGGCAAATTGTGGCAGCGAAATCGAGCTTGGGCAAAAACGCCGGCCAAGGATCTGGTGTCCTGGACGAATCTACTGCCCAGAATGACAGGACGTTCCATGGGTTCCCCTTCCAGCAGTGAATAGCAGAGGGGGGATTTGGCCACCTCCAAAGAAATGTTTGATTTCATGCCGGATGAAGACGGTATTGATTCGGCCAGTAGCTGCTCTCCAGGATCCGCGCGTGGATCCTCTGGCCTCGCAGCCCCTGGATGTCGTCCACGTGGACAATCAGATAGATTCCAAATCTTGTTTTTCAAATAAGAGGTGCTGAAATAATATTTTGTTATCTCCCAGTGTTCATGGCTTTGTGGTTATAGCATGCACGCTGTAATGTTCTATTGTGAAGGGTTGCTGGGTTCGATTCCCATCCGCCTCAACTTTCAATTAAGAATAGTACGGTGTTAGGGTCGCCCCCTAACATGAACACTATTTTATTATTTTATTATTAAATTAACTGAACTTTTAAACGCAGTTTATATTAGTGGTAACTACAAACAAATAAAAGGTTAAGAGCGATACATCACAGCCGTTGGATTAAAGGATATTTTAGAATATACCATCCAAACCGTTAGATTTTAGTGCGGCTACGGTTTCGCGAGGTGAGAGAGACTCGGGTATTCGTCTTCCTCTGTGCAGCGGAAAGCTGCCATCTCTCGATGTTTGGGTGGCTTGAATCCCTCGGAGCTCTCCATCCGGTTGCACCCAGACAAAGGCCACGTTTTCCATCCCCTCTCTCTCAACTACACAACGGGCCTGTCGTGCCGGACTTGGGACGAGCTGGTCCAGGAGCTCAGCTGCATCTATTCTGACGCAATTGCTTCGCTCCCTGACACATTCCTTCCGGACGCCAAGACGCGGCAAAATGCGGCGATCATCCAAGGCATCCAGCCGCCCAAGGACGAAAGGGAGCCGGCTTGGATGTCGAAAACCGAAAACCGAAAGATTCCAAGGATTCAAATGAAGAAACCTCGATACCCAAAGAGCCTCACCATGGATTTTAGACGATTCCTGGTGCCGGATAGCCACACACAAAAAAAATTCAAAAAATGGATGGATTTAACAGCAAATGAAATCAATCAAGATGTGGACGTTAGATCTTGCTTCACCTGATATATAGAAGCGACTATGTTCAGGAAGTGAAATCTCCCATTACCAAGACAAAATATGTAGATCCTATTTTAAAAGCTTCGAAGTGATTACTGTATTGATGCTATTCGTGATGGATAAAGTAGTATCCTAAGAATTGCAACGACTTCCATCATTAGGACCATCCAAGGCGTCGTTGCCCTCACAAAGAACAGCTTCGGTCAAATCCCGGAGAAGAATCCAGTACCGTGGATCCTCGCATGTTCACGAGATCCTGCGCAAGACCATTGTCTGCTGGATAGCTCTCACGCAAGTTTCAACTTGAGCGCCGCCAGGAGCATGTTTGAGAGCATGAAGATGCGCACCTTGGTTTCCTGGACCACCAACGCTCAAAACGCTTGAAGGACAAAATCAGGAGTCAGAACCATACTCAGGTGCTTCAATCCCTTTCGAAAGCTTCCACAGTCAGACCGTTTGCTTCTACATCCCAAAGAAACCAGGGGATACCTCCAAACCATTCAAACGCCATTTCAGCAGCATTCACTCTCTGCGTTATCTCTTTGGCTTCTTCCGATCCACTCTCGTAGTCTGTCACGCGTTTCCTCCAAGAAGACACAAGAGCATCGCACTCCTGCTTTTCCCACGCAGGCAGATAGCGAGTGAACGTTGTCCGCTTGGCTTTTCTGACATTGAACTCGTCTGGTGATGAAGCAGCAACAAGGGTTTTATTTCCAACCATCCGCCCCAAGTCCACTCACAGATCGATGAGATGGTATCTACTTTGCTGTCCAGCACAATCTCCTGAGGGAAGTCTTCTCTATTCACCACCCTGAGCTTTGTTACCCTTGAACATCAAAACAGTCGCTCTGGACTCGTAGATCATGACCGGAAGTACCAGACGAATGCAGATTTACCAACCCCCGAATTTCCATTCAAATGGCAGCACAACATCCACATGAACGGCACCAGGATCTTCCTGATCTCTTTGTACAACCCATCGAATATCTCCTTCACGTACAGCTTCAGAATATTGCTGTGGAATGTGGGCAGACGAGCACCTTGAGCAAGAAATTTCATCCGTTCCAGATGGAACATTGATCCACCATGCCTGCTGAGATCTCCTAACATAGACTGCATGTTCCCACAGGAGGCAAAGCATATTATTGTACGTTTTAATTGAAAAGCATTTAGCTCAATGAGCTCAACTCCTTAAAATGGACATTCCAACAATGGCCTAATCTTCATTATTGAGCTTAGTCCTGGGTTCATTTTAAAAGATTGTAACCGAGCTTAGTCTTTGTACTGTGGGTTCCTTGTAAAAGATTGTAATTAGAAGCTCTATTAGCTAAAAGAGTGATGGAATCACAAGGAATCCAATCACGGTGGCATTCTTCAGGCCACTTTAGCACACGACAATGACATCCTCAATGTTAACAATCCACCTTGCGTGTACTAGTGCTCCACGATCGGGCAAGCCTCTGCATAGGTTCATCATTTGGCGAGGAGCCCCACGTAGCTACATGTTATAACTTATGCTCTAGCATTCTTGAGGCCAGTTTCGTCCTACTAGATGGTACATCCTGACAAAGAACTTTTCTGATTTCGGAAGTGAATGTGATCTAGTCGGGAGCCATTCCTTCCAAGACCATCTCCTGGTAGAGGATCAAATTAAAGCGTGGAAGAAATTCCCAGTGAGAGCGTAGGCCTAGCAGTCCATGCGACAATGTTGTGGCATTTGATCGAACATTGCCCGTGCCATGTGTGTGTCGTTTTGAGTGTAGAACTCATGCTTTTCCATGGTATGTATGGTTCTTCTCGTGCTCATTTTGCTTATACTATTGTCCAGATTGCTTCATTCCTCATAGATGTATTTTCCAAGATAAATGGAGGCCTGTAGTTCATCAACATCCAAGGCGTGGAGTGACCACAATGCAACTTGTGATGAGACGAGTTTGTGACCTTTGTATTATGCCTTCTGCTCTTTGGAAACTTTTGAGACAGCTTGTTCTCAGCTGATTGAGTTTAAGCTCGGTCAAGGCTTTCACAAGATTGGACAATAGTGTGAAAGACAAATGCCAAAACCATGTGTTTAAGGACAAGCTTAACTAGCTAGTTGCACCAAGATCACCACCAATTCCATGAGGTGTGACTTGTTTATGTTGAATCTAGGATTTTCCTCGAGAGCTTCCCTGGTTTATTGGATGTCTGGTGCAACCCTGGAGTTTTTTTTGCAGGTGAGTAAGCTTTCACGGTTTCAGAGCAATATATTATTGCCAAGAAAAGGCATCAAAAGTTGGAGCAGGATTTGAAAGGATCGAAACCTATGGACCTCCAAGCTTTGACAACCAAGTGAAGAATAGATGGGACCAGGGTGCCTGGATCAAATCAAACTCGAGCTCAGCCAAGCCATCTTCCACGACAATACCTTAAACGGTTGTTGCTGGTTCTTGTTGCAGCATACTTACGCTTTGTTTCTCAAAAGTAGCCTTTGCATCAGCTGCTTGTCAAATTGAGACAAAGAGTCCACCCATTTTGTTTGCCATGGCCTCGCCAGAGCATGGAGTGAGTGAGAGTTTCATTCCATTGAGAAGAGAATGGTTTCTTTCTTGAGCTTGACTGCAGCAGATTTTTCTAGACATGCAAAACAACAGAAATCTTATAAAACCCACCTTGCATATGTCTCATGAATAAGTTCGAACTTTTCAGGAGTATTGGTGGGCCTCAAGCTCCTCTTTGTTTATAAATTGTTTATAAATGTAAATGCTCTTGTGCAGGAAGCTTATGAATACTTCTTATGAAAAGCACCTCAACTCTTGTATCCATTTTCGTGGCTCGATTTTGGTAGCATCTGTAACGTTATGTGGCTGTAGAGTGGCTGTTGCCTGATGCATTCTTGAAACACTTTGCTCTCTTTAACAGAAGAAACAGTCTGTTGTAACACACAAAGCTTAGACATTTTTCCCAAAAGGAAAGAAATATACCTTGAGGTATAGTCTGAAGCCGTGTCCCACAACTTGACGCCCAAGGAAGTTAATCACCCATGTCGGAACAAGGTCGAGCTTAAGGTCCAGGTGTATTACTGCTCTGTAAAAGAAATAGTGACTATCTTAAGAAGAAAACAAAAAAAAAAAAAAAAACTAATAGTGTACCTTATGTAGCATTTCTCGTCGCTAATCTTCTGGAGGATGAATCCACCGTTGGCTTCCATGCGAATGACGCCCTCTTTTGGAGGAGGCAAATGAGAAGCATTAAACCCATGGATGGTCTCCTTGACGATAGTCTCTGCTTCCTGGGGGACCTGGCAAATCACCACCATTGGAGTGAATAAAATAACAAAAGAGGCACAGTGATTGATAGCTTAACTGTTCGCAAGCAGCCAACCACGGCATCCAATTCAGGTAGCTCCAGTTCGAAAGACGTGACCAGCATTTCTCTTGTCGCAAACGGCCATGGAACCTTGCACCTGGCAAGAGCTTGTAGAATTTAAACGCGGGACGGAGGAGCTGCTGCACTACCACCAGCGTTGTGGCTTTTGGATTGATCAGCAGGGCACAAGGGATGTACGTTGTAGTGAAAGCATTGCTTTCCCACAGTTCATCTTTCGCCCTTTTTGCTCTGAATACTCTTGTTGTGGACAGCCACCTTTTGGCCCCGAGTACTTTCCATGCATTGCCCCCTCTTCTTCACACAGGGTGTGACTTGAAATTTCATGGATTTTTTCTTGTTGCTGCTAGGAACAAGCATCAAACTTGGATAGAACACGACAAGAAAGCCCCTTGATGAAATCTCAAGCTCCCCAGGATTTGAAAGAACAGAGAAGTGCCTCCAGCCTTGTACTCTTAACTTTGCTGCTAATCAAGAGCGTGCCTGGATCAATTTAATCTTCAATGCTCAACCAAGCCATCTTTGGACATTCAGTCGTTGGATGCAGGGAAACCTTGTTTCTCAAAAGAAGAAAAGGTAGGTTATCCCAGGGATTCAGTGGTGAAATCTTCATTCCATAATGGTTTCTTTCTTGGGCTTGACAACCGCAGAAAGGATGACAGCCTTATAAAACGTTCCCACGGGTTTAGAAAGGATGCTTAGCTTGCGCCGTTATGGTGAAGGTATGATATACGTTAAGAAGCAATTAGTGTCCGATTTGGACGGGAACCTGATGGCAAGGTCACAGGTTCGAATCCACAGCCAGAGACCCAATCAAAACATTTTGCAACGCTTCTCCCTCCTTTGCATCTTGCAAGCTACTGTGATCAGAGCGAGCTCTTCTGCCTGCAGTCATCTCGGGATGAGAACTACTTGTCGTCCATAGCCCAAGACTACAGCATGTCCACGATCATGGAACACTT